AGTTACTACCTAGTCTCCTCATCTCGTTGACCAAGTGAAGACCAAGCTTGACAGTCTAATTTCTGTCGAAGTCTGGGAATGCGAAAATGTCTGGACAGAAAAGGCTCAAGAAACCAAGGCTGTGGTTTGCATGCTATATTATGTGACTGAGTTTTTGAGCGTGAAAATAAAAAAGCTACACGCTGCCCTGCATGCCGATCCGCTTTCAGCATTGACAAGAACACTTCTACTGAAGCAGCACTGACAAACGTGAAGAACAGAGGAGGCCTTATACACCCCAACAAGAACCTTTTCCAGCTACTGACGAAAGCGGAATAGTTCTTCGTGGAAAATAAAATCCACCAGACTGTCTACTGGGACGCAATCGACAGTGTTTTTGACACATGCACACTAACGTTTCCATGCGCTGAACACAAAGAAGAAACAATTGCCCAGTGCTCCACTACTACTTCAGCATGCGAATGCGACAACACTGTAAGCATATTACAATGAGTAGGAACAAACAAGCTCAAGAAATAAAGAAATCAGCAAAGCAGCGCTCGTCTTAGTTTAAGGGCATGGGCGAGAAACGCAGGATGTAGGAGATGGCGTTCTTTTATAGTTTGGAGTGAATTCAGCTTTTATGTACATTTTAAAGCAAAAATATTTGTCAGGTATTTTTTTTTTACCTGTAAGACGGGGTGACACAATATTGTGAGAGTATAGATGAAAAGTGATTTATGTCTTATAACCGCTACTATTGTTTGACTTTCAATCACTGTGTCACCATGTCAGTCAGTATGTCATCATACTGTGTCATCATTTCAGTCACAATTAGATCATAAATAGGAATTCTTTCTTCTCACTAGGTTTGTATGTTCCACAGTACAAGTGGACATTGTATAACAGGTTGAAGTTGAGCTAGTTGGTACATAATTTAAGTATATGGTCAGCTAGAACGAAAGGGACAAACACAGACAGAGAGAAACAGAGACACACACAGCGGTGTGTATGTCTCTGTTTCTCTCTGTCTGTGTTTGTCCCTTTCGTTCTAGCTGACCATATACTTAGACATTGTATGTATAAACTATTTGTATTGCATAAAACCTTTATGCGCATGTAAACAATTATCTAGCCCCAGTATGTAACATTATTAGAATTTATTTTTGTTCCATAAGGCAGGAGCAGGGTGGAAAAAATCACCCGACCTCATATAAAGCCACGCAATGTGTGTAAACAATTTACTGAACGGTTACCAAACATGTTTGACAAAACATACGAGTATGACCTAGGTGTTTACTCTAAATTATTGAAGGCCAAGTAGATTATGCCGGGAACTTTTATATCTATACGAGTATTTTTGTCATGTTGAGTCATCATCGGCATGTTCTCGTTTAAAATAAAAAAAAAAAAAAAAAAGAAACAGGAACCGTACGGGGGAAAAGGCAATCAGTGCCAGTGCGCCAACATAAATCCATCATTTCACAACACAGTAAACAGGGACCGAGTAAAGAATGCATAATTATCTTCACAAGCCCTCTACACAAGCCTTCACAAGCCCCTCTATACGTGCCATCTATCCCCGTGCGACTGAAGCGCGCTCGGTGCGCCGAACACAATGTGGTCGCCGCGCGAGACAGAGAGTCAGCACCTAAATGTATTTCTTTCACCGTGCCCCAGGCACAAGGGCGGTCCGTGCACGCAGTGTGCTTCTCGCTATTCACAAAAGTCGCGAGCGCTGCTCCATGCTTGCACCACCCACGCATGCCAGCCTTGCAGGTGCAGCTCGCGCCCACGATGAGTCTCGGGTGCGCTGAAAGCTGCCGTAGCAACAAAAAAAAAAAAAGTGTGTAATGCACGGTTGAACCGAGAAATCAGAGCAACTATAAATGAGGAGTGGAGGGAGGGGTACGCGAAACCGAACCGGGTGGCACGCTCACCTGAAGCCGGACGTTGTAAACAGCAGACTTCATCTGCGCAAGGCATTTCCCTACAACTTCGCTGGGAGCTGTAGAATGAAGGACTTCTTCTTTCACGCCAAACACGTGATGGCCCGCATAAAGTTGCTCCCCTAACTTCAGTGACTTTTCTTTGAAATATTCTGCGACCTCGTCAATCCTTCTGAAGCCGCAAAAGAGCACCGTCGGATCGCACGTGCGAGCCGCCATTTTCAGATGGGAACATACCAATCGTTCTTAGGTCGACCACGGGCGGCGCTGGGGAGCGCAAGCGACGGTGGCGCCGGAGTGGCCGCCCGGAGGGTATTGTGGACGAAGATGCTCCAGTTGTCTGCTGTGGCACATCATACGCGTCACTGATCTTACGCCGCATTCGTTTCTTTACCGCTTCTTCGAGTTGACTTTGCTTTTTTTGCGCGTATAAACGAGCAGACTTTTTTCTCAATTCAGCTGGCATCCTGAATGGTGAGATCTCTATCTGCAGCGATGATACACACTCGTCTATTTCCTTGACAGACGTTGTTTTGTCAACGAAGTCCTCGTCGTGGGCATCCGAGGGTCCGGCTTTGCATGCTTCATGCCGATCTACAACGAGGGAACTGAAATACCTGAAGCAGCTGTGGCACAGCTGATCCGTCTCCGAGATGGGAGTTGAAGGATCCAAAACTTGCCTGAGTATTTTCAGATCCAGATCGTTCACAGACCTGAAGCGTGCCTGCCACAGCACATTTTTCTTATGCCGTCGTCGATAGTCCGCACAGAAAACGCGCTTCCCACTGTACGTCTCAGCCATAGCATTCACAGATAGTTAGTACGCGCACACACGGCGAAAGAGTACTCTGCCAAACGCTCCCGGTTCCACTCGATGAATTTCAAACCTTCTTTGCACGAGGGGCTAGGACTAAGAGCCAAAGACCCTATACAACACTGACAAATGTGTCCCGCCTGTTTGGGCTCCACCAATTTTCTTCATGTTCTGCGTTTCCCGTGGATCGGCTTTAACGAGCGGTTGGATGCTTCCGCGGTAAACACACAAATTACGCAACTGATACGTGAGAGCTTTCCTTCAAGCTCTGCGGGGTTAAGGTACGTTCGACATGGCTCTCGGTCGGAAGCGGCAGCTCGGGTATCCCGCTGCCGAGTGCTCACACTGGTGGGTCCAAGGTCCATCTCGCGGCACAGTCGACCACGCAACTCGATAACGTTAGGAGCGCTTCTATAGCCACAGCAGAAACGAGCATTATCTGCCGATGGGAGCTGAGATGATTTTGCCGATGTTTGTTTACTTCTCTTTGAGAACTTTGCGCTTGAAAGAGGCGGCAGTTGTCATAAAATCTGCTGTCAGCGGTTATTGTTTTACAGCATATTGAGACGCTCGGCATTGCTAAACAACTGCTTTACACCTATCAAAATATATGCCTGATAAAAGAAGGATATCAGAAGAGTAAAATAAGAGAAAATAAAAAATATTAAAAATGGGCTTTTTTTTAATGACGCGCTGAATTTGGCCAAATTTTGAAAACTTCATCCTTCTCAAAATCTATTTTTCGGTATAAAAAAATCATAGACAAATAAAACATAAATTTTTGGAAAGGCAATGAAACGCTCTGTCAGAGAAAAAAAAATTGAATGTCATACATTAAAAGTTTCACCTAAAAATTAATTCTGAATCTTCGTGCATAATCGTCAGAGGTGGCAAGTTTGGCTATCTTTAAAAAAAATTTCAATTATTAGTAGAAAATATCATTTTAGAGGAAATAATACTCAGTAATACATAGATTACCACAAAATATTATAAAGGTTGTGCTTTTAATAGTATAGAACCAAACAAACGAGCTTCAAACATGCTGACGCGACAGCGGTCAAAACTACATTGTTCTTCCCCGCACTTTTGAGAATTTATTTCCCGAAAACTAAAACTTTCCGACGATTAAAGTAAAAAGCGTTGTTCTAGGTAAAGTATGCGGCACAACATATAAAAATATAAAGAAAAGCAAAAAATATGATTCTTACCCACTGCCTGAATCTGAATGAAACCGGCCGATTAAATATATAGCCCCAGGAACAAACTGACCAGGTTTGGTTACGGCATAAACTAGGAGAAAAAAAAAAAAAGCCGTCCTAGCGACAACAAAGAGCGTGTTTGGCCAAGCTGTGCGAGCGTGCCCTGTATGGCTGTTTCGGGTCGTCTATTTTGCCACTGACCTGCTTGCGTGTCTTCACGGTGGACAGCCTCTCCAGGCCGACGCGGATTGTCTCGTAAACACCAGAGTTTGTTCTGTGTCGCTGGAGTTCCACTAAATTATCCTGCCGTAGGCGAATGAGCGTCCACATCTCCGACTCGGACCGGTGCACTTAGCGTGTTTTTTTTCTTTTCGCTGGTGCCCTCTACAGCTGGCACCCCAGTTCACTGGCTCAAGAGCTGACAAAACCTTCGCAATGAAAATCTCCTGCGCAGAAGAGTGTGATTCGTCGTCGTTGCATGCGGGAGGAGGGATAGCAGCCATTGCGTCTGTCGTCCCCGCCATAGGTTCCCGCTGCTCTTGCCGCCGCCACTACCTGTTACCGGGGGTATCATTTTCTTCCTATTGTATCACGTTTGTGGTCCCATCTATTTTACAATTTTGACTTCCTAAGATTCTAGTTCCAACAACACATGAAACGACAAGAAACAAAGTATCATTTTTATTTGGAACTTACGGCTCCGAGACTACTCCCTGTAGCTGCAAACAAAGGTTGGAGAGCTCCGTTTACTTTAAAGGTACTTTTAAAGGTACCGTGTGAATATGATCTCCATCTCCCTTTACTATAGGGACCTATGTTATAGGTACCTTTAGGTTACCGTGTTGTGATCGTGTACTGAATTGATCTCGTAGATGACAGGAGTTTCCCCAACGCCTCCATAACGCTCATAAAGTTCTGGTGCAACAAGCGGACACTCTTGTACTTTGAGCTCCACCGAGTGTGGCGTAGTAGAGGCAGCGCGGGTGCGTGCTTCCTTCTGAGGGAACTTCCTCTGGAGAACTTGATTGCTGCTTTGACAGAGGCCACCGCATTTCTCACCTTTGGCACCAAGTTGGCCTTGTTCACAACCAAGTCTAGGCGGTGTGAGGCCCAGTGGAAGTACAAGGCTGGCAGCTGCTGTTTCCTGATCCTAGCCTGTACCCCGGATATGCATCCTGACATTGAAGAGCAACCGTCATATCCCTGGCCCGCAAGGGTTTTTAGTTTCAGCCCTAAGTCCTCGAGAACTTGGAGGATGGCGTTGGAAATGGCTTCTGCATTCATTTCTTCGAGGGAAACCATGCCTACAAACTCTCCTCGTGCAGTTTTGATTTTCATGTCAACAAAGCGAAGGCCCAGCTTGAGCTGCTCCATTCCCGAAATGTCTGCCGGCTCATCTGCCAGTACCGAGTACAGCCCTGAACTGTTGTTACACGCTCCTACGATGTCCGTCCGCAGGAGTTCTTCGCTGATTTTTATGAGCTCATTCTGGTTGCTGACTGAAGTGTACCTTGCGTTCTGGGCAGTTTTTGAGGTGTTTCCAGCATATGGTCGCACGCATCAACGCGAAATTTAAAGCAAGTCCTAGAACACGCCGCCTTCTGATTTCTTGCCTCGCAGAGGCATATCATGCATGTCACAAAAAATAATAGCTGTCGTAACTGGGACAAGCTTTTGTTTGTTGCACTCCGCCTTCTTTTGTGCTGCGGTGTTGAGTTGCATGGAAATGTCGGTCGAATTGTCGAGACATCAAAGTAAATTGTCCCTCTTTTTCGTTGCATCTTTGTGCCATTCACACTGTTCATGTTGCTTAGCAGACTCGTGAAACTTCTTGTACCGGGTAAAGGCAGTGACAATGAAACCTCCTTGTCGACTTCCCGGGCGCTGGCTTGAAGGCGATGCACTAGCGAGTGTGTACCTTTGAGAACACTAGAGTAGGCCAACCATGGATACTGCGAAAGCCACGCTGGCCGGAAGGCCCTGGCTTGCATAGAGTCTGCAACATCAGTTTTGAAGTCTCGCACATCTGGAGGGATTCAGGGGCTGACCAGCAATTTTCGCTTGAGGTCATTGTGTGCAACGAGGGACGCGCAAATAATATGCGTGAAAGTAACGCCTTTAAATGAGCTAGACTACGCATATACCACCTGATTGAGTGTTTTAAAGAAGTATGGTTGTCTTGGTTGGATTTGAACAAAGCTACACCTTGAGTGAGTGAGACTGAGCAACGGTAGGCAATAGATCAAGCACACATATTTGAAAAAAAAAAAAAATTTAATGAGGTCTAAGCAAATATAGATGTTAACTAATATGACTGACTGCAAGTCTCTAGCGTTATAATAGTATCGATTGGATTATTCTAAATAACATATTCCACACAGTAGTTTGTTATCTGCAGTAGTCAAACACAAGCCGGCAGTAATGTTAAACAAACATGCTATCTCCCATCATATCGTTCTAGCAGTGACCCGCATTCCCACCTCCTCAATGGTTGCTATTGCCGTAAACTATGTGTTTTACAAATGTGAGCTTCGGACAGGAACGCATCAAGTCCCGCCAGACTTCCGCAGAACTGCGAAATGTCTACACATATATGATAGTATAAATTTATGCCGATACTTTGTATTTTTAAATAATAAAATATCGCAAGCCAAACGATACACTCTAATGTTTGCAACGAGCTCGCAATCTGTACTCTTATTTCTAGAGTGAGTGATGAATTGTTAATTCGTGCAGATAAGACACCCATGCAGGTACAAAAATCATTATCTAGCGCAACATAAAAAAAAAAGCATCTGTGGTCAAAATATTCTATTGGCTGGTATCACTCCACTTTTTCCTACCTACCGTAATTTTGGAACAAGAATATCATACTACACTCAGAAAATACTTCGGAGTGCTCGCGGAAGTTACGAACAAAAGCTGAGAGGCGTGGCTTGTACGTCATGAAGTATGATGATATGCCACAGAAGCCAAGGCCAGGCGGGTCCATTTGCTCTCGGAAATTTCGATAATAAAATAAAGCCAAGTCCAGTGACCAAGGAAGGTTCTAGACCTGAATGACTAAGTGGTGTTTAAGTTTTCTGCAAATCTTGATCCTATATGAAGTAAAAATGGAAAAATATTCTGGATTTCATTCTTAATAGTATCCACACATTTCCAAAACTTCAAAAAGAAGTTAGAAGTTATGGGAGCTTTAAACACCGTTCGCGGAACAATAAGACCCAGGGCTCACTGAGAGCCCGTGTTCCAACACTTACCCCGCAGCATACTCACGTTCAACCGCCGCGGCGGGTTCGTTCGTTTGCTGCACAGTGCCGCTCTAATAGAAGAGACAGACGTACCAGACAGTGTGCCGGGTGACGAAACAGTTTAATCACCGCAAGAAGCTATACAGGGCATATAACAACGCGACACACTGAGCACCGGTGACGAGAATTGACTCACCGCTCGATGCATTCCCGAGAGCCTACGGGCGCCAACGTACTGGAGACGGGTCCGACGCACAACCACACGCTCCCATTGCCACCCGGAGAGTCCCCCCTCTCGGCGTCCGACACCCCCTCGTCGTCGCTTCCCTACCGCACCCTCGGCCACAGGGGTCCCAGGATTCGGGGACAATCGCGTCCTCTTTCGGAGGTGGTGATGAGGGTACAGCTTCTAAGATGGCGCTGTCCCCCTCGCCAACGGTGGATGCGTGCGACTGAACAAATGAATCCAGCGGCTCGCTCTGCAGCCGTTTTAGGGCCTCTCGAGGAAAGGAAATGACTGCATTTCCACATCCTCTCCCCCTTAGAATGTGCGGTCAGTCAAAAAAAGTAGACCTGGTTCTGGCTCTCTTCCCCCAAAAATGACGAAACTAAAAAAAAAAACAGTGCTACCGAGGTGCACAGGCACTCACAGCAGCATCACAGCAGCATCGTGACGTCGAAGGTGAACGATGGGGCCCCTGGGTTCAAAGGTCCCACCACTGGCCCGGGCTCATCCGCCGGCGCAGGCGACAGCGCTGCTGGTGGTGCTGCCGCTGCTGCCGCTGCCCCCGCGAGGTCCGCTGGAGCCCCCGGACATGACGCCGGAATCACAGCCCCTCCGTCTAGATAGTCGGGGTCGGCCTGAACACCGGCCAGCACCGCGTCCCGGAATGCTGGATCGCGCTGGAAGCTCTCCAGCACCCAGGCCACGGCCTCAGGTCGCTCGAGAAAGGTGACGTCCCCAACGTGGCCGCCGCCGCCGTCTCCACCGACTCGGCCCCGGTAGAGGAGGGAAGCTCGGTGCTGGGCCTCCGTCGTATAGGTGACCACGAGGCCGCCGCAGTCGGAGCAGTAGGTTGCCGTGTCCGCCGGGGTCAGGCATGCCCCGGCGGCCATTCTGTCCGCGTCCTCGGTGGTCTGGCCGCGGAACAGAGATGGAATATGCTCCGATGACCTGCCCCGCTCGGGTCCCTGCTGCAGCTTCCATCGGGCCCAGCTGACGAAAACCCGCGGTGCCTCCGAGCCCACCTGCGACGTCCACGTGGTGACCGTTCTGGACGACGCACCCCGGGCCCTTGACTCTTTTCGCCGCGAAGACCCATGGCCGCTGGTAGGACCAGGTTGACTGTCCCTCGCTCCCGCGTTGGCGGCTGGTGTCCGGGAGGGCACCCCAGGTCCGCGAGGAGCCGGGGGGCAAGACGACGGCCGGATCGGCGCTGGCGATGATTAACGCTGAGGGCTCATGGTGACGGTCTCGATCTCTCAAAGAAAAAGCCGGGGAATGCAAGTCGGTTCCTCCCAGGCGGCGAAGTTATAGGCAAGATCCCACTCTTTGGGTGGGCGGCGGGGAGGAGGACGGTCCAAAAGGTCCCCAGGCCGGAGGAAGGGTGGCAGCCGAAAGTTGCTGATGCAGGGACGCGCCGCCCGATTAGGTCTCCCAAGCACCGGCTGGCCCACCCGCATCCGTGCTTGGAGTCCCGGCACGGAGGAACACAAAGGGCTCTCTCCGGCTGCCGCTTCCCCGACAACAACACCCCCCAAACGACTTTGGGGATGAGCGAGCCTAATGGCACGCATAAGCTGCCAATTGGAGATTCATAGGCACCGAATAGACCACAGAGTCCCTTCGCCGGCCGCACGCACCAAGGTACTTAGGAAGGGGTTCGTCGACCCACTTCGTCGGCGGTGCACAGGCGCACTAAATTGGGGAGGCATTGAACCAAGCGTGCCCTCTCCAGACTGTTGGCACCCGATAGACCATAGAGGCCATTCGGCGGCCGCACGCGGCGAGGTCCCAGGATTTAGGGACAATCACGTCTCCTTTCGCATGGGGTGACGAGGGTACACCTTCTAAGGTGGCGCTGTCCCCCTCGCCATCGACGGATGCGTGCGGCTGAACAAATGAATATAGCAGCTCGCTCCGCGGCCGCTTTAGGGCCTCTCGAGGAAAGGAAATGACCGCATTTCCACAAAGTGTAGCTCAAAAGACGGCTACTATCGCGGAATACAAAACTCACAGATGTGGAACCCCTACAATAATTTGTACTTCAAAGCACATAAACATCTCACAATAGCAGGCACTACTCCATTACAGACACAAAAACCTATGCACAGCACTGACTCACAACTCTTTGTATTTTGTCTTCGTTTTCTACTTAGTGTTAATACAAAATCTGGAAATTGTTTTGTCCTCATTTTTTAACTGTCCGCCTATTAAAATGAATTTGTAAAATAGATCGCGATTATCATCTTAAGGTGAGGTAAGCCAGTTCTCTTGCCGATAAAGTGAGAGATGGAATAAACAACCTTCTCGATGCATTGGACAAAACTGGTTTTGTGCTGCTTAGTGCAGCTCTCTGATCTGTTTGAAGAAGCGTTCACTTTCTTGCACAAGCTGGAGAGCTTGTTCGGTGCTGAAAATACCACCTCAACATTGAGTTTTTTTGCTACTTTTTTGAGTCCATGGGAGAAGTTGTGAATATAAGGCACAACAATGGGCCTCTTTGACCTGTCTCTTGGTGGGGGTTGAGTGACCTCCCGTCTTTTTATTTGTTTGAGGACGTTTTCTGCAATTGACGTTAATAAGACACTGGGGTATCCTGCTGCTGTTAACCGAGAGATTCGCGCATCGAAGCTTGTTTTGATCAAATGTTCGCATGATTTGTTAAGAGATTTTTTGAGACATAGATTCACGATGCCTCTTTTGACCAGTTTTGAGTGAGCAGAGTTGAAGTGAAGTAGCAGCTTTTTTCCCCGCAGCTCATATGACCCGCATACGTGATCACTCGATAAAAATAGCCCTAAATCCAGGAATTTGATGGATTTCATGTTTGGAAGTTCGTGGGTAAAGGGATTCATGCAGCATTTGAATTTGGATAGAACGTTGGCCAGTGTCGTTGGGGACTTGCAAGTCTCCACTGCTAGAAAGATAAAATAGTCATCTATGTATCAAAACATTTCCACTATGTTTGAGGTGTCTAAGCTTCTTTGCAACAATCTATCGTGGTAGGCAAGACAAAGGTCGCTGAGTATCGGGGCGATACATGACCCTATGCATATGCTCTTTTCTTGCAGGTATTTTTTTCCTTCCCACGTGGCGAAAGTGGATTGCAGATACAGGGAAATTAAGTCGATGAACTTGTGTTGGGCGATACTTGCAGCGTTCTGGAAGGCGATGGTACCAAAGGAGTCTATGCTAACCAGACAGTTTGGGCGGGGCCATGCACTCGTAAGAGCTCGCATACATTCCGACTTTGATCAGAACAGGAACTCCTCATGAAGGGCGTAGCCACAGTTCTCGTATGCAGGGGTGCCTGACACGAAAACTTCTCCGAACATACCAGCAAGGTACGAGTCGGGGGCGTTGCCCTCATGGAAGAGGCGCGTACACCGCGACCTCGTCCACCTTCGACCAGCGTGGTCTTGATGAACATCAGCGGCGTGCCGCTGAGTTGTCATAGCGTAGGGAACTTCATAAAGACGTACCGTGGTGTGGCCGCGGCCTGAAGGATGTGGTAAGACAGCCACAGGTCGGGCTGGGGTTTCCAGTAGTCTGGAATCTGTTGTGCTGGCTTCAGTGGGCTAGCAACGAGATTATCAAAGCCATCGCAGGTGTAGAAGACATGCCCTATAGAATTGAGCAGACTGGCAACTGATCCTTTGGCCATTACGTCTTGAGGCACGTAAAGTGCCATCAAGGGGTTGGGGCCGGGAAACACTGCTAGTTGCAGGTTCCAGGCGCGTTTCAAGACCAACCGACGCTGGAGGATCAACGTCGTACCGCCTGGAATGATGACGAGGTCGCACATTGCGTTCCCTACCTCCTTCTTCACGCAGTCCGTGATGTGCACCCAAAATGACTCCAGAACAAGCATGCCTTGGGGTTTCAGAAGGGCACCGGGACGCCTGCACCAGACCAGTCAAAACTAGTTGAGCACCGTCTCTTCATTGAAACAGCCCTTTTGTTTATCCGGACGATGACCTTTGGCAGGAATTGCTCATTGGTTGGCATCATCTTGTGCTTGAAGATTAAAACGTAAACATTTTCGACAGAGGTCTGTCTGGTTAGGGAGAATTTGACATAGTTTTTGCAGACTCTAACCAAAGTTTTATTAAAAACACATAAACCCGACGTTTCGGGGCCCGCTCGGTCCTTTGGTTACGGGTGACTGTAGGCAGGGGCGCGGTAGGGAAGGTTGCCCAGGTGGTTGGCCTTGCTGAGGCTTAACCCAGAGGGCGCGATAGGTGGCATTAGGAAAGGTGGCAGCTTGTGGCCGTCTGCTGTGCAGCATAACATAGTGGTGAAGTGGTTATACTCATTGCCCGTCATCAGCACACGAACTTGGTGAGCCCTTTTCTCCGTGTCCGTTCTCCTGCCGGGCCTGTTGAAGGAGACCAGCGTTGGTCGGCATTGTTCATCTTTGTTCCGCAAACGCCATTTCGTTCCAGACACCATCAAGCTGGGTAACTGCCCAGATGCCGTTGGTGGTAAGGGGTGCGAAGGGAAAGCGGGTCGTGTCAATGTCCACATTGTCAGCGACCTCCTGTCGAAGGGCCGCCGTGACAGTGCCAAAGGCATCTTCCTGGACGGACACAACCGCCCTACCCGCGCGTCGTAGTTCCGTTATGGTCGTACCGTCCCTGATCGTTGCTGTCAACGTCATATTGTGTGTCCGACAGAGCACAGTCTCAAAGCTGTGGACCGGCATTTTCAACAGCCGGGACAGGGTACGCTCTCGCAAGGATTCAACAACAATGGGAAAAGAGCAGAAAAGCCGCACGAGACTGAGCTGCTTAGGTCCAAACTTTACGTAGATGTAGCTCGCTACGCCCAGCGCCTCCAATTCTGCCAGGATTTTTTCAAAAAGCCAGGAAGCTCCGATGTCTCCGCTTACGCAGAGGCCCCAGAGCCTTAGCTCAACAAAAAGTGATCTAGCAGGCCACTTTTTTGTGTGAGCTTTTTTTACCAGAAACTCGTCCTGTTCATGCCTTTGAAATAAGGCTCGCTGCTCCTCAAGGGGTGACCTCTATCAGAAATGTTATCTTATTTGTCGACTTGTAGTGAGAGCAGGCAGTGAATGATAATGGTGGTTATATGCAACGTTGTGAGAAATCGGTAATGATATGGCATCGAGGGTAGTACCGACACACAATGGTCTGCATTGTTTGTGCGATGTTTGGTCGCATAGGCCATATGATGAATTTGAAAAATGTCCTTGCAAGTACAGGAATTAAGTTTATCACTGTCTGTGCAACTGTTGCCTCTGACATATCGAAACGTAAAGCAAGGTCACGGTTCAGCAGGGCAAGACGTAGCTTGGCCAGTACCATCATCACGGTGTCTCCCAAGGATACAGCTCTCGTCGGGTACTTTGTGCCGTCGTGTACCAGATATACAACAAGCAAAAGCATGTTGAGGCTCTCCAAGCCTGTGTAGAATTGAACCGAGGATTCCATCAGCTGCTCTGCAGAAAACGTGGTGACTTTTTTGTCTGACAAGCTGCTGCACACAACTTCCAACTTCCTTGTCCAACAACAGCTTTTACTCTGCATCTTGCAACCAACATATCTCTTTCTGAAGGACTTCAAACTTGGAGGCTGAAAAGCAGACCACATGTTACACAAACATCTGTAGGACTGTAAAACAAAGGGAATTCTAACGATCGCTACTTACAGTAGATAAAACAAGGCACTGCCACCAGCAGGTCTGTTTGAGTAGAGTTCTCGGCAAGAAGTCTGTTGAAGCCTGCAACTGTTAGAATACTAATAAGGTCAAGAAACTAAAAAAGTTATAAATATGTAGGAAAAAAAACACAAATTAAACAATACCCTACTAATGCCTTAAAGGTGTGCTTATCTAATTCACTGGTGCACCCCCAAAAAGAAGACCCAAACACCAAAGCCAACTAACGGTTGTGGAGGAAACTAAAACATTGCTCTCAAAAGTGCATAAATGTGGAGGCACGGGTTTTTTAATTTTTGTGTGAGCAGCAATATGCAATGCATTTTTTTCCGCAAAGGAACATGCACTAGTACATCTCTGTTGCACTGACTCCCCAAAAGAAAGGGATAGACTCAACGACAATAGACGTAACGAAAATCACTTCCTTTCCAGACTCAGTCTTGGGGGGGATGTACCAGCGGTTCCTTGTGAGAAGCAGGGAGCCGAATTCCACCACTAAATAAACTAATAGGCGGGAGCTCTTCTCGTCGTGTGTATAGCCACTTCCGGTTGAGGTGCGCAATGTTGTGCGTATGGCATTTTACTCTTGAAATATTCTCTTTCTAAGTTTCTTGTAAGCTTGGGGGTAGTGCATTGGCTTATACCTAGAGTTCGTTGGTTTGGTTCTCGTAAAGGGAGAAGGGGATTTTTCCCAAAGGAAGTGTTATCATGATTTCCGTTATTTCTACAAAAAGAAGTAAAAAAAAAGACAGGCAAACTTTCTGGTGGGCGCTGGAACTTCAAAGCCCTTCCTACATGCATTTAACATGAAGCAACTTTCCTCCGAGTTTGAGGATCTTTCTCTTGTAGTAGCTGCACTGGGTTCCATCCTTGGCCAACCAGAAGACCATTTTTGTCTTTTGATGATTGAAATCATCTACGTCCTCCTGTGTAAACCGCTTAATTAACGCAATCGGAGCTATTGCTTTGTGCTTATCTTCGTACCGCATGTACGCAAACATGCTTATGGTTAAAAGGCAAACAAACAGTAGAATATACAGAAATATAGAAAAGGATAAGACATGTTAATCAACACAAGTGCAAAATAAAAGCATATAACATAACTAAGAAACAGAGCACCCAGTGAGGCAGAGCCTCCCGATAGCTCTGGCGAGGCCGTCCGCTCCTCCCCTTTTGCCTTGGCTCGCTGCGAGGGGCGCTCGCATTCTTGAATCATTCTCTCGGCAAGTGAGCTACTAGAAAGTCGGGTGCATTTCAAAAATTTTTTTTAACAACTGTAATTTTTACCATGTTCCAGTTTGTTGCAGGAACGGCTTTGAAGCGCAGCAATAATTTCCTGCAGTGCACAAAATCGAAACCAATTTTCTCTATGTGTTTTCATGGAGATTAAATGTACTCCTACTGAGCACGTCCGACCGTGTGTACAAAAGCAAACTTTGATGATGCCCTTCAGTTGCTTGTAAAAGTGCTTTAGTGGTTTATTCTCGCTGTCTCTTTTTTTACAACGGTGCACAAAACATACTTTCGGCACGGTGCCACAATTGTGCTGTGCTGTCCCACCCGATACAATGGCTGATGTGTACCCCAGTGTAAGGCCTCGAGCATACACTGAGCTGCAATCACGCTGAACTTACACTCGCTCGGGAACTTTTAAGTAAGTTCATGCTCTCGCATCATCTGACAGTGGTCGCAGGGCTTTGTAGCAGGCGCTGATAAGCCTGGAAGGGTCTCTTGGGGAACGGCTCTTTGTGGGTCGTCCAGGAATCGGGGGCTTTTACCACAAAAGAGGTTCGCAGCCCATGTTCTTAAAGCTTGAGTCGTCCCTGTCCTCATCGCTTGATTTTTCATCATCGCCGTTTAGTTCCAGACACCATCAAGCTGGGTAACTGCCCGGATGCCGTTGGTGGTAAGGGGTGCGAGGGGAAAGCGGGTCGTGTCAATGTCCACATGGTCAGCAACCTCTTGTCGAAGGGCCGCCATGACAGTGCCAAAGGCATCTTCCTGGACGGACACAACCGCCCTACCTGCGCGTCGTAGTTCCGTCATGGTCGTACCGTCCCTGATCGTTGCCGTCAACGTCAGATCGTGTGTCCGACGGAGCACGGTCTCAAAGCTGTGGAGCGGCATTTTCAACAGCCGGGACAGGGTACGCTCTCGCAAGGATTCAACAACAAGGGAAAAGAGCAGAGAAGCCGCACGAGACTGAGCTGCTCAGGTCCAAACTTTACGTAGATGTAGCTCGCTACGCCCAACGCCTCCAATTCTGCCAGGATTTTCTCAAAAAGCCAGGAAGCTCTGATGTCTCCGCTTACGCAGAGGCCTCAGAGCCTCAGTTCAACAAAAAGTGGTCTAGCAGGCCACTTTTTTGTGTGAGCTTTTTACCAGAAACTCATCCTGTTCATGCCTTTGAAATAAGGCTTGCTGCTCCTCAAGGGGTGACTTCTATCAGAAATGTTATCGTATTTGTCGACTTGAAGTGAGAGCAGGCAGTGAATGATAATGGTGGTTATAGGCAACGTTCTGAGAAGTCAGTAATGATATGGCATCGAGGGTAGTACCGACACACAATGGTCAGCATTGTTTGTGCGATGTTTGGTCGCATAGGTCATATGATGAATTTGAAAAATGTCCTTGCAAGCACAGGAATTAAGTTTATCACTGTCTGTGCAACTGTTGCCTCTGACATATCGAAATGTAAAGCAAGGTCACGGTTCAGCAGGGCAAGACGTAGCTTGGCCAGTACCATCAGCACGGTGTCTCCCAAGGATACAGCTCTCGTCGAGTACTTTGTGCCGTCGTGCACCAGCTATACAACAAGCAAAAGCATGATGAGGCTCGGCAAGCCTGTGTAGAATTGAACCGAGGATTCCATCAGCTGCTCTGCAGAAAACGTGGTGGCTTTTTTGTCTGACAAGCTGCTGCACACAACTTCCTTGCCCAACGACAGCTTTTTCTCTGTATCTTGCAACCAACATATCTCTTTCTGAAGAACTTCAAACTTGGAAGCTGAAAAGCAGACCACATGTCACACAAACATCTGTAGGACTGTAAAACAAAGGGAATTCTGATGATCTCTACTTACAGTAGATAAAACAAGGCACTGCCACCAGCAGATCTGTTTGAGTAGAGTTCTCAGCAAGAAGTCTTTTGGAGCCTGCAACTGTTAGAATACTAATAAGGTCAGGAAACTAAAAAAGTTATCCCAGGTGAAAATTCAAAGTGGTTGTACAAGTGGTCCCACTTAACTTGCAAGTGGTGCCACTTTACTTAATTCAAAGTGGTACCACTTGGGTTCATATCGACCACTTGTGTACCACCACTTTAATTCAAAGTGGTGGTTCACATTGCCCACTTGCACCACACCACTTTAGCCATGTGGTCCCACTTGGACCCCAAAGTGGTCTGGCTTAGACCTCTTTGACTTCAGAATACCAGCTTAAAGGAAAACTGAAGCGGTTCTATATTTGAGGAAAAACACTTAAATCGTCTTAACTTGGCCTTCAGGAACACGAATATCTAGATTATTTTTCAATTTGGCTCACAGAGGCTGCACAAAATCATTTTCAAAGTACCGCTGTTCGATGCCCCTCCTCCCTGGAGCGCGACATTATATATCAAGAGTTTTTGGAATCGCCGCTCTCGCACATCTTCAGCGCTTATCAAAGCTGTGCACGCGCACTCTTGCCATTTTCAAAAAGGTCATCACGACTGGTGTCAGTGTAGGGGAATTTACCTGGTAAGCTTGCGATTGCACACGAGCGACACACTTTTGGTGGTCAAAAGATCCTAGTATGATGTAACGACTGGTTGGAGGTTTTGTGTTTAGTTACATCTTCAGGAAAACAAACACGATATTCAGATTCACAGGATGAAAATATGCCAGAATTAACCTCTAACTCATTTTTTAAGAACCTCTTCAGAGCACCCCTTTAACTGGTCAGTGATGAAATACCATTTTGATATTTGGGTGTCAATTGGCAAATCAAAACTTTCTTGACCATGTGGTGACATCACTCATAGTATCTTTGGATCCTGTGGCAATTTGTATATTTTGGTAGTGTACACTTTAGCACTTAGGTAAAGTGTACACTACCTTTGGTATCTTCGGTATAAATCTGAGTTGAATATGACACAAATGATTGCTGGAAGTATTATATCACCAATCTTCTGCTACATCTAGGTGAGACTTGTAGCCATTACATAGCTTGGAGACACCAGATCACTTTGTTTGACTGTGAAAATCAACATGCTTTGTGAAAAGCATATTAATGAGATCGACAATTCAGTATATGACAACTACCGATTCATTTATTTAGAATTATTTCTGCAGAAATTTAGCAAAAGTAGGTACAGGAAGGAAAACTACTATCTGAACATCAAAGAAAGTTAAAAATAAACATGCGTAGCACACACAAATTCCACAGCAAAGCAACCTGCCATTTTCAGCAAGACATAAATGGCAATAAAATTTACCAAGAACTGATGACAACACACAAAAGTACAACTGTGGCACCAAGTAAAAGGGGCAGAAACACAACAAAAACACAATAACAATGACATGCAAATAACTCTAGTACCACCTTTGCAGGTCACAAAACATTCACTTAATTGTCCTAGTAGTTCTCTAAGGGAAGACCTAAAAAATTTTGAAACGTTATATAATTTTTATTAACCCTTTACTGCACAACTTTTTATTTTTTCACAATTTTATTCCAGCAGAAGTAGAATACCACAGTTATCACAATACTATCACTAAAATAAATTTCAAAGTTTCGAAAAAATTTATATCGAAAAAAGATAGGTATGTTGCATATTTGCAACAAGATGGAAATAACGAAATATTTATAGCCGAATGCTAAAAATTTGTGAACCAGAGCCAAACTTGTATTTACAGACATCAGTGAGAGATGTGGCCTCATTTGCTTGTGTGATACAAAAGAAAGCAGTTATTCTTGCTTGTTGAGCACAGGTGAGTGCCACACTTAGAGCAGTAGCTCATACAAATGCCCTTGCATCCAGGAAACTTGCAACGCTGTCGCTTCTGACTCCAAAGCACCCAGTGGCCAACCTGAGCATAGAAGTATGAACAGTGAGGTTTGTAACACAGATTAATTCGCCAGTGATAATACCTGATCAATCCTGACATCTTAAGGTGGACACGGTGCTGAAGGACCTCTTGTCTTCTTCAGCTGGATGCCTTGCTCCACGGACTCATTGCTGGGCCTTCCCCTTTTCTTCAGTTGATTTTTTCCTGCTTTGCAGAGTGACGTGGCGAGGTCCACCTTGAACTCTGCTAATGGCATGAGCTTTCGTGTTGGTTGATCGGAAGTAGTCTCGGCATTCCTCCTGTACAGCAGCCAGGCATTTACAGCCGTCAAGTCGAGAATATGAAGAAAAATACGAAAGTACCATTTCTTCGATCGGAGATGGGCGCGGTAGAGGGAGATCAGAGAGTCTAAGAGATCCACTCCTCCCATGTGCTTGTTATAAGCGCCTATCACCGACGGACACGGTATGTCGCGCCTCTCCTTTTCTTTTTGGCTCCACCTTGGCGCAGTTAGGACAGGCTCTGCCCCAACAAAGGTGGACAGCAAGGTGACGGCTCTGTTGTCTTGCCACCTTGTACACGACAGCTGAATGCCATCCAGGGTCGCTACCTTCTCTTCAAAGCTTCCCCTTCCTTTCTGTTTCATTTCCTTGTCAGATGGCATGCTGATACCCGTTACTCGGTTGATCCGGACTGTACCAATGCAGTGCACGGTTTCTTTTTCCAGGTACACCTGAAGGGTTGGACAGTTGAAGTAGTTATCGAAATACACTTTGTGGTGGACTCCTCTTGGGATTAACCTGCACAATCGAACAACAATGTTCCCGCTTGCTCCACAGTCAGGCTCTCCTGCACGTCTTGGGGCAGAGTTTTCTTGTCCCGTGTACAGTTCTAGCTTGTACGAGAAGCCACTTACTCCTGAGAGAACAAATACTTTGTACCCCCATTTTTTTGGTTTCTGGGGACAGTACTGTTTCAGTGCACTTGCGCCTTTGAAAGGTATAATCTGTTCATCCACAGACAAGTGCTCTTCAAGCGGTATCAGCGACAACTGTTCATTTACAGCATCGACGAGCGGTCGTATCTTTGCAAGCCGGTCTCTATCAGGATCATCTCTTGGGCCGAGAGAGCTGTTGTCCACAAAGTGAAGGTTGTGCTTCAACTGTTCGAAGCGTGTCACCGTGAGGTGGTCAGCTACTTGGCTTACTCTGGTAGCTTCACTCCAGTACCACCTAGTGTTCTTCAGCTGAATTATAGACATCCACATGCAGGTGCCTAGAAAAACTTCAATCTCCTCGGCACTGGTGCAGAGGGGCTTACTGGCATCCTTCTGGACTGAGTACAAATTGCTCTCATTTGCAATAAGCGAAATAAGAGCGCCTGGAAAGATGAACTTGAAGTATTGGAAAGGTGTTTCCAACTCTGAAACTTCCTGCGGAAGCTCATTTTGTCCAGTGAACTTCACTGTTTCAGGATCCCGCATCAGGCTTGCATTCTTCCAGATAATTCTTCTCTTAGATTGAGTTGATGACTGATCAGCTGGTTGGCTTGCGGGAGCTTCCTCTTCGTCAGAGCTTGTACTCGCCTCGCTTGAACTGGCACTACATTTTGCAGGGGGTTGGACATCTGGGGTACAAAAAATAACAGCGTCTCGTACAACTCATACAATGAGCAGTAAAATAAATAATTTGGAGAGAAATTCTACATTGTATAGGGGACTATCTTCCCTGGCGGTTCTAAGTGTGCTCTTTGAAAGCGTGAAAACAACCCTACAACTTTGCAATTGTGTGTAGTTACACCTGACGAAGGATGGTCTCTTCCGAAAATCTCTGTCAATAAAGCCTACACTGCTTCTAATTTTATTCTCTACGTGAAAAAAAGTTGGATTTCCAGAAAAAAAACATTAACTTACAATCAGAGTCATCGTCACTGCCGGAGAGCTCGCTGTCCTCACTGTCGGAAGGAATTCCACGGCTGTAAAACCGTTTGGGGTCCATTGTGTCTGCTCTACGAAGAAAAAACACCGTCGTGCACGTTGTTGCATCTGTGCAACATAGCTATTTTTTGCTTCCAAAGACAAACTTCGTCGATAATCTTAAGGTTTTTAGTATTTACATAATCAGCAGGACATTAAGTTGAGTCGCAAATTTTTTGTTTTGCATTACACTGTATAGAACGTGATATGCAGTAGTCAAGGCTTACCTGTGTCACTTGTTGAGCGTCCACGTGGTGGCTGTCACGCTTTTTAGAGAGCAGTTTCGCCGCCTGAGTACAGATGGCAGCACTGGACGGCTCGCCTCGCGGATGTATGTTGCAGAAATGCAACAACGTGCGGAACTAGCACTGAATGCATTTTGTAGATGTTTTTATCGTCGTTTATTGCTATGTTGCGAATATGCAACAAGGTGCAGTAAAGGGTTAATTTGGGTCAAACAGTGAAATCAATAATGGCAATAGACCAAAGGTGGCTAAACTGCGGCTCGTGAGCCCCATGAGACTCTTATAGTGAAAAATTGATAATGAAAACCAAATTTCATTATGTTGCTGGGAAACCGCCTGGATATGTGGGTAAATCAGTGCAACCAGTTAATTATGCACCCCATGAGTGCAATAACTAGCAAATAGATGAAAATAACTTTTACTCTTTGATTTGCCTCCCCTTTAGTTTACTTCTAGCACGCAAGTATGACTGCTCCTAGAAATCTAGGACCACTCATACTTGTTGCAGAGCTGAGCAAACAGAACAATGCCATCTATGTCCAAGTACATGCATGGGTTAACATGCCCACAGAGCCTGTGCAATACCTTAGTGTGTTGCTTGTGGGCAAGCTTGAGGTGTCCTACGCTTCCAAAATCAGATACGTCGTAAACATGTGAAACAATGTACACGTTCGGGCTTCCACCCCCATCACTTTCAGAAAGAATGTGTTCAACTCTGACAAAATTATCTCCCAGCTTCAGCGCCGTCGAGTCCCGCTTTGTTGGAGCTTGGTACTGTGTGCTATAAAAAATGTGCCCAGCTACACATGCACGGTCAAACTCCACAAGCTCCTGTGCCACTTCCAAGGCCAGCTCCTCCTCAACCAGTCTATGCAGACATTGGGGCAGCTGCTTGGGCTTTCCAAGAAGGTGCAAGTCACCTGGCTTGTAGTGTTTCCTTGTCGGAAAATGTGCCCGGATTTCGTCCTAAACCATATTCCTCAGCCGATAAAAGCTGTTGCGGAGGAGAATGCGGGAGAAGATCTGGAAGGGCACACCATTCGACGAGGAAACAAGCTTCAGCAAATGCCCCATGTTTGACTCAAACTGGAAGCAAGATAGTGCCCATAATGGCCCATGGAGGAGCACAGCCTTTGGAAGGTGCAGGAGCGTGTGGACGTTGCTGTGCTTTTCCGTAGAGGAACTCGGTCTTCACAACAAACTCGGTCATCTTCTCTGTGCCCATCTCCACATCTTCATCTAGAACTTCCGTCTTAGTTAGAAGATATAAAGCAGATACAAAGAGCTCAAAGCGTGCATAATATTCTGCTGGCAGCACACCCTTCAAACAAGGAAGGCAGTAATAAAAAAGCCAGCATTGCCACTCGGCTGCTTTCCAATACTTCCTCAGCCTCAGGGCTCGTGGCGGTCGGTTTAGGCACTGTGGCGGCTTCAGGCTACACAAGCGCTCAGTTACGATGGATTGCCGCGAAGGGTGTCCAATGTAGTAATCCTCACCCACACCAGAAAACCACAATTCGGCAAACTGACGCCCTACACCGAGAAGGGCGCAGTGCATATAGTCTGGGGTAAAACCCCAGACCATGTCGAAACCAGGCACGTTTAGGAGTGGTGAAGGGCCCTTAACACCGCGGACTGCTTGTTTGGATGCTGCTGCTTCTGCCATGTCTGCAACCATGCCAAGCTCGGTCCTCCAGCCCACAGGTAAATCCAAGAATCCAAGTTTCGTCGTACCTTCGACCATAAAGCAACTGGCGTTCGGCCACATGAAGAAGTTTCTAAAGGGACACTGAAGGCACGAAGCGTACCCAGCCTTTGTCACTGCATGAAGAAAAGGCGGCATTGGTCCCACCTTCATTCGCAATAACAAAGTATCGTACAGGGGCTCCGGAAGTATATCTGATGCGTGGGGGAGACGTCCGGGGGCTCATGTCGCATTGTGTAGTTCACCTCTGTTTTTCCACACACACAGATTATATATATATATATATATATATATATGCAGGGTGATGGGAGGGAAGAAGGGGGGGGGAGGTTGGAACTGCTTTGAGCATGGGGGCGACTGCCCGCCATGCCCAACGCGCGTACATAAGGGACTCCGCGTGCTGATCTGCAGTCAGTGCTCGCCTCTGCTGTCTTGCCGACTTCGACGCTCGCGACGCTTTATTATTTTCTATTGCCTTTTGTTTTGGCACAAGTTCGCCACATTAAACGTTTATTTCTTCCTGTTTATTTATTGTTATTCTGGTCACCACCCGTGACAATATGCACCTATTTCGCCAGCTCATTTTACAGTCAAGCTCGCTAATGATGCTAATATATTCATCTTTACATCCTACTTGACGAGCAATTCACTAATTGAATACTAAGAAATGAAGTCATCACAACTGTGTTCTCCAAATCTCAAGTCACTTTGTTAATTTGAAACATGGCTCCACAGAACTAATATTGATATCAAATGGCACATTTGGGAAGTCGCAGGTTTGAGAGGTCTTGGTAATGAACGTTTGTGCCCACCACGAGTGCTGACATGGGCCGCTTGTTTGAAAACCTGCCATGATCGCTCGTGAGTTCGTAGATCGCGAGCATATTTTAATGCCGACAGCGTTGAAACCAGGAATACCGAAAATGGTTTATTCCAGCGGCAATCTCGAGTCTGGTAATCGACGGGTCTTTGAAGACACTGCTCATCGCTCAATAATAATATATTAATAAAATATTTAGTCCAGCTGAAGACAGCCGCAACGCCGCAGAAAGGTAATCGGGTAAAGACTGAAGTACGTACCTCTGGCGTGTCATCCGGAAATATGTGAAGAAATCACGTCCGTTGTCAAGACGCAAGTCACGGACGAGATGGTGGAATTCTCCAAAGGTCTTCATCGATTGCAGCAAGAAGTGAACCCATTCCCGAGAAGGATGTGTTGTTTGGCCTAGCAGCAGTTGCACTGCAGCCGTAGACCGCGCCACCAAAGCCCAATTTGTTCTCCTGCCTGCAGGGGCAATGTACCTCTGCACTCACTCTAAAAACACGCACAGCAGAAGTTCTTGCAGCAAAAGAGTCGACGACGATGAGGTACTTGACGATTCAAGCACACCCATGCCACTGTCCGCCATTTTTGCGAGAAAGGCTCGGTTGTTTGCTATTGGCTGAGGGCAAAAGCTGGGGCTGGTTTTCTGTTGGCCGTTCACAACGAGCTACTTGATTCGGTTGCATGTATGTGTACATGCCGCATACTCTAGTCGCAAAAGTCGTACTGGTTAGAGTGGCCGCTGTGGACGCAGCCGCATGCAACCGACGTGTGTAAACGAACCTTAACGGAAGTGCTTGCAGCCAGGAAGTGTGCGGTTGGTTTTTCGACCGCACACTGTTTGTACTGACAGCCATTTCTTAGCTGGCAAACAGTTGTGTTGCCATGGCATTTCTACAACAACGCAGTAGTTTGCGGCTATTAAATGCCGCTGCCGTGTGCCTCTTCGAAGCGCACATTGAGACTAGGGCGTATATTTTCCTTTAGCAACTTACCGACTCTGCGTAGCAGCCTATGAGCAAAGACAGAAAGGTAGTCTCAGTTTAGCGGCGGCACAGCTTCCATTTCCGCGATTTGGACACGTTTCGATGCACAAGGATGCACCATGCTCATACTTTGTCACCCCGGTTTTAATCGCTTGTGGAGCTTGTGGTTGTCGCCTCTACTCGATTTTTTGCAAATGGGAATGTTTCTGACTTGGTTTGAGCAATATGCGTCCTCTTGGCTGCGCGCTCCTTGGAGTGCTCGGACAAAAACGAGCACCAAGATGACCGAGCCAACCAGCGCCACACGAAACCAGTTGACTAAGAAGACACGAGCGCACTCAGCGTGGTGTCTTGCCTGCCGAGTAGTTTCTGTATTTAATCGTTCTTGCTGTGGGCACGTTGTGCGTCTTCTCTGTGTCATATTGATGTGTGTCATGTTAGCGTGCCTGTCATGTCACCATTTACTCTCTCTCTCTTCTTCTCTCGCAAGCTTGAGTTTTATAAGATACTAATTTCCACGTTGCACTAATTTTCAAGTAACGCACTGAAGAGTTCGTAGTGTTGCCCGACCTAAGCACGGGCGGGTCATGTGGCCGAACGCCAGTTGCTTTATGGTCGAAGGTACGACGAAACTTGGATTCTTGGATTTACCTGTGGGCTGGAGGACTGAGATAAGATAAAACATAGTAAGCATAAACGAGACATAAGAACTGCTGCCTTTTCTCAAGTGGCATCTCATTAGAGTTGCCATAGGCTTATAGGCTATGGCAACTCATAGGCTTAAAACAGGAGGTATCCGAAAAGCACCAGTTGCTAGATGCAATCCAAGGTGATGCACAGAATCGAGCATTTTCTAGGCAGACGGCCGGGCAAACGTGTATATGATAGCACCATAATCGAGGCATGAACATTCAAGAAATGAGCACAAACGAAGTAAACACCTCCTACCATCACCCCAAGACTTTTGTGAAAGAACTTCCAAGATGTTCATTGCCTGCAGACATTTTTGCTTCATGTAGCTATTTGAGGTGAGATACAAAGTCACGTTTGCAATCAAAAATCACTCCGAAAAACTTATGCTCTGCTCTAGCTGCAATGTTATTACTGCTTGAAGTGGAAATCGGATCTAATCAAAGCCTCCGGCCGCAATGAAAAGGGCACAGACTGTTTTCTCTGAAGAAAACAAAACCATTTTCATTCACTTATTTAGTCATTTTATTTATGGTTAGCTGTGGCTGCTTTTCACAGCTAGACATATTACACAATGCTACAGAAATTTGGACATCTGCATTAAAAGTATGGTATGGAGGAAGGTATGACCCGGCATAGAGAGTTTATTTTTACAGCGAAGGGGCCTCACTTAGGGCTGCACCCTGAGGAACCCCGTTCTTCAGAACAAACAAATCGGAAAGTGCTGTGTCTAGCTGTACATGGAAAGAGTGATCGCATAAAAAGTTTTTAATACAGTGAAGCAATCTGCTGTGTACTCCATACATAACAAGGTCATGCAGAATGCCATGTCTCCAAGTAATACCGCAAGCCTTCTCCACGTCAAAAAAGACTGATACACAATGCTACCTGCTCACAAATGCCTCCCGTACAAGTCTCCAGCCAAACTAA